AAAGCGTGTGAAGAAGCGGAAATGGATAAGTTGAAAGCCGATCTGTCTCCATAGTTGGTGTGAATGTCGTCAAAAACTCGATTTGTGAGTATTACATGACCTTTTACCTTTGTCCTTTTAAAATAACCTGATTTGTGAGTATTACATGACCTTTTACCTTTGTCCTTTTAAAATGACCCTTTATTTGCCTTACCCTCTGCTCTCCGTGAATGGAGCCATTTTTGCTGAAAATTCAGGTTTGTAGAATCCTCAATATAGCATTCTTCTTCTTCTACTACTCACAAGCCTGTTTTAGAAAAACATGTGCAGGTACACGCATAGTTGTTATAATGTCTTAGTCGCCTTAAAATAAATAGGGGTGTGTGGTTTGGGACATTGCCCTTCATGAAATTTAAGCTTCGGGACAAAACATTCGCGCTAGTCAGGGCTCGTAAATAATGTGGCATACGCTAACGCGTCGCAGGACTAAACATCTACATGAAAGTGCCGGAGTAGTTGTTAATTTGACCTAAAGCACCTCTTAATCCAAGGCAAAAGAAGCTGAGAGCTACACCGGTGACTCATTTATGATAGAAAGAACATCTAACGTTGTCTGAGCTTGTGATGGCTTGATTTGTTAACTTACTCGCCTTGGGGGAAATGAACGCGATTATTATTCAGTAAGTGGCACACACCGCCAACAAAAAGATTCGAAATAAATTAACGACCGCAATTTAGAGAGAACATGCTCGTATGCCTCTATTTGCCCTAAACTGCTGACTAACAAATTTGCCTCGAGGTTGAAGCTAAGACGTGTTTTCCCCTCTTGGGCGAAGTGAGTAATGGCTTATTTCCATAGCCTCTCAGTCATTCGTCAGACTCGCAATCGACCTAGCTTACACTAGCCAATCAGAGGCGCAGAAAATCATCGAGGCACTGATTGGGCGAGCAGTGTCGCTGATATAAGTTTCTGCAACTCCAGACAGCTGTAGTTTTGCGCGCATCCTTCTCTTCGACTCTGTCCGCGATGCCCTCTCACGTAGCAGCTTCGCGCGAAAAAAGCGAGCGGTGTTTGCATTCAACGCCTTCTTCAGAACGCAACACAATGAGTGACATTAAACAATGCCTAGTTCGACTCAAACGCATGGTTCCTTCAGTCCGGCGGCAACCCAAAGTCAATAAACTGGAGCTACTCCAGCATGTCATTGACTACATACAGGATCTGGAAGTTACCCTGGAACAGCCCGAGTTGATCCTTTCCTCCCTTCCCGTCTCTTCTTCTGGTTTCGTAAGTACCTGTTTGAATACGTGTTTCACTTGATTTCGCTTGATCCATCTATCTGGTTGCTATAGGGTGTTGTTCCGTCACGAGTAGGTGCGTTTCATGTTCCGCCGTCTAGATCCGTCCTGAGGGAAAGGCTATCGACGATAGATTTCATTTTTATATCGAAACCTGCCACGATACTTAGTTTTCCAACCTTGGGTTCATAGTTGTAACCGATACCCCGATGAGGCGGCGGACACTTTGTTATAATTGGATCTTAACTTATACCAGGTTTTGGCCAAGAAGTTAACGATATAGCTCACGCAACGTAGTTGCTGGTACCATTAACCCTATAGGAAAGAACTTAGATTTTTACTCTTACAAATTCAAGTGTGATGCTGGGAGCGATTTTTTACCATCTAGTCTGCCAGAAGCCCGCTAGTTGTTAACACTCGTTGCGAGTAGAAAAGAGAAAAAATGCTTTATTTTGAAGGTAATATCCAAAATTTGCAGCAAAACGTAATCGAACACCTGTACATTTGTCGTTGAAATAGACAGTTAACTCAGACTTGTTGCTACACCCTCAGCTGAAAAACTTCAGTTCCGTTTATTAAGGGAAACAGGCAAACGCCTTTGAGCTCCCTATTGGTGACACAGAGACCGAGAATTGTATCTGCTCAGCAGAAATATTTCTCGGCAATACTACCTCGGCTCATTTGCAATGCCATAATTGCACGAGCCATTAGGTGACATAAAAGCAAAACAAGCAGACAGTAAAAAAAACTCCTTGTGCATTTTTCATCAACTATGAAAGTTTCAATGCAATTTGAGGAATTTTAAGGAGAAAATACTGTCGCTCATGGAGAAAAATATATGTGGTGTAGGGCCATCCTGCAGATGAGAATGCGTGAGGCAAAACCGGAGAGCCCGTCCCAGGCAGACATGTTAATTAAAGCAAAATACTGGACACCATCTTTCTCATTTTATACATCGTTACTGACTCTAACTTACCTTTCTCTTGTGGACATTTTAATTGCCTCCTAAGTCAGACCGGATGCCCTTCTAACCATTTAGCTTTTTCGGGTAACTTTCAGACGCCGACCAACACTACCTGACTCCTTTGGAGCAGGCTGGTTTTGTATGCCATCGCGTGATATGTACAAATCAGATTTTATCTCCTCAACAGTGGCCCTCGACAGCGCCACCGGTAGTATCCACCCTTCTGTGCGCGCTCTTGATTTTCACTGCGCACCGGCGACAGCCAAACACACGGAAGGACACCTCCAACCGCCATCTCCTCTTCATCCATTCTACCAACAATCATTTTAGTGCGCAAGACTCCTCTATCGCGAACGTCCTGACATCGTAAACGAGGTTGAACTGTTTTTTTTTCTGAATTATATTTTCATCGAGTTTAATTTGTTTGGCCTTAGCTTTTCCTATAGCCGATTCGGTTTGCTATCGCGGCTACTGCTTATTCGTCATCGTTCGCCTCAAGTTGCGCCAGAGACACAAGAGATGCTTGATCGGGTTCAATCGGGTTAACCGCCATGCTCGATATCACTGAACTTACGCGGGCATGTAGAACCTTTCAATAGATGATGGTAATGATGCTGTAACTCCCATTTATTAACTCGCAGTGGGTTTTCCTCTTATCCGACCTATAAATGCAGTGCTTCTATCTTAGAAGCGGAGATATATCGCGCCGATCGCGAGCGGATATCAAATATTCGGCGTTTTGGTTCGGCGAACGCATATTGAGGGATAGCGAATTTTCGAGACACCAAGAAGATGATGATAGCAGGATGCATGGCAGTAAGTATGATTCCTTGACTTAAGTAAGTACCCATGCTCACTTTTAATCCATCCCTCGTATTTGTGTGATGTTCAGTGCGTTTCAACCCACCAGTAATCCCTTTATCTGAACGAAATTATTATGAGTATCAGGCCGAAAAACACCGACGGAGGCTCAAACGCCACCGCCCTTCTACCTCTTCGAGAGGGCAGCTATTAACACACTTATGCCTGGAGGGTACTCTAAAACGCCATTGCAGCGAGCAACCACAAACAGGCTATGACAAGCTATTTCCCGTGCCGATTGAATTACCAACTTATGCGTACCCATCAGTACCTCTCCACTAGCATCTACATGTTGGTATGTGCAAACATTTATCCGAAGGTATTTGGAATAGTAAGAGGTATTTTAAACTATATGAATATGCGATATGTACATGTGTATAAAGAAACGCCTCGCGGCGTCTAGAGAAGGTCAGATCAGAAATTGGAACAACGCGGCTGGCCAAGGCGTGGACATGAGTCTCGGAAACTAGTCATAACTACTAGAATGAATGTAGGTCATCAGTCTACCCGATATCCCAAAGCGTCGTACTGTAAGAGACATCACTGGGGCCCGGTAGACTGGTACAGAAATCAGAAGTGTTTGGTCTGCGCCATATCCCCATTTCTATACTTAATTCGGTCAAGCACCTCCTAAGGAATACTGATTTTTTTGTAAGTGATATGCTTTTAGAGTCAGATCTGCGAATCGGGTGTCGGCTGAAAGATCACGACCCAAAGCCGCATATCGTTAACCCCGTTTACGCATCGCAGCTGTACACAAGGTTTGGCAGGGGGAGGCAGTGTTGGGGCGCCACGGCACAGGCACGTATGCACACAAAAAAGCCAAGTCGAACGGGCGATGATCGGGCAAACCGATCTATTTTGTCTGCAAGA